AACATTTTTTTAATTATTTAAGACGCATTAATCGGAATCTACCGTCCACTTTATTTCGATTGATAAAACACATTTCAATGAACATGGTAAACTGTTTCGAATGAGGCCTTCCTTCCTATGAATAGAAAGACACAATTCTAATCCAATTATTATTCATTAATCAAGTGTACATGAAAAACAAGAAAACAAAACCATGTCAAAATTCGAGACAGGAAAATGGGCAAAATTTACACAAGGAAAAGGGATCGTGTAACCCTTTGTATCTCTGTCTTACCTATATTTGACATCTTCGTGTTTTGTTTTGAAACGAACTAATTCATAATTATCATTTACACGTTCAATCTACTATAGATGGTCAGTGTTGTTAGGAAATCATCATCAGTTTGTTAATTTATAGTTTGAAGTAAGACTTAAATGTTCTGTTTATTTGTTTCTGCATTGATAGTCTTCGTCTTCTGTTTATGACTTTGTAAAATATATACTCTGAAGTGCTGCTACCGGTATTGAAATTTAGGATTGAATGAGTTTATTCAGCAAATGAAGTACTTTGAGCTAGAGTTCAGTTACTGAGACAATTCCTTGATACGGTAAGTTTTAGAATATCATGTGTTGTTTATGACTGTGTTTTGTCTCTCTATTGTATTGTTATAATATGGTTAAGTTAAGTTCTTTAACCGTACTGCTTTGTATTGTTTGTTCCATCATGTTCTTCCTGCTAGAACACTGATAGACGATCTTAGAAATAAATTAAACCCTACGACGTGTTTTTGCTTCTATCCCAAGCCGGTAACCATGTAAGTTGCACAGTTGCAGTGTCTTGTTATATCTATATGATTTAGATTTTTCCTTTTTCTTTTTTCTTCGTTTTATCGTGATCTTTAAATGTGTTTGAATAGGATCTTTTAAGGGTGGGGGTTGTTTGTTTGGTGTTTTTTGGTTTTTGTTTTTTATGGGTAAGGTAAATTGGGTTTTGATGGTGATCTATAGTCAATTTATCAACACATTGTAATGCCTAAGGACGATTCAGAACTTGACTTATCAAATTGATAACTGATTGTTGATGAAGAATGAATTAACTTCCTTTGGTTGTAATAGAAATTTCCAATAAAATGACATACGTACCTAATTCGACGTACGCACGTAACGGGACCGGTTATTGCTAACCTATTAATTTTGTTAAATACGTCACTCAAGTTTCAACTAAGAATTCCTAAACTATTAAACCCATTCATGATAAATTTTATCAACATCAAGTATTTCTAAGATGATGAAAAACAAAGAAATCATGATTTTTATATATCACGTGATTATTGAGATTCCCGCCAAAACTTCACTGTCATAAGACCACGTATATACACGTATCTTTACCTATCATACGATTGATTTGAGTTGTCTTTCATGGTTTGACCATGATTTTGTTTTTCGATATACTTTGCAAATGAACCTTTTATTATTTAATATTTGACATGCTTTTATTTGTCGTTATCAGATTGGTGTCCCTTTTTCCTTTCGTCTCTTAATGTTATATAATATTTAATTTTCGTGGGTATTTATTATTAGACAGAGATTTTTCTAGCAATTTCAGAAATATCGAATTCAAAGTGTTAGTCAGAATTTGTCTCTGTTAAAGTTGATAACTGGGATTGCTTCATACTTTATTAAGCATCATTTCCTAGAGAAAACTTTCGACAAAGGGATGTGTATATTTAAAAAAAAAATTAATACAGGTCTTGTACTTCTTTCAATTTTGATTGTTGACATACACTTTTCTTTCAAATGAAAGTCAACTAACATTAAAAAAAAGAATTTTGTAATTAAAAATGATATATGTAAATAAACCAATTCGTTATATAGATTGTAATTTGGAAGGTGTACTTGATTAGCAATAGATGACTAATCTGCATATAAACATTGACCGCTGTGGCTAGTAAACTATCAATTTATAGTACATAGTAATTGGCTAAAAAAATGTCCTGTCCCCAAGTATCTCTGATTTAAAGTGGACGAGAATGCCAATTTATATACTTGTTACATTTTTAAGACAACTATAATGCCACTTCAGTCTTTACAGTAATTTTCTTTATAAAATGTACTTTTAATTAGTAAGGCTTGATATTGTCATAGTTGTTTTTGGATTAAGACAACTCTTACTAGTTCAATTAGAAGTGGATTCTTAATCTATAACATATTGATTGAGGTAAGCAAATATTTTAAGTTTTAATTTTTGTCTCGCCTTAGAGATATATATTTATATATAAAAGTTAAACTCTACGATATATCCATGCATAAGATCACCAGTGAAGGTGATACACGGCTGAAAACAAATTTTATATTCATAATTACTTTAAATATGTTTATATGTGTAAACCAAGCTCTGTGCAGGAAGGTTTTTCCAGGTTGTTCTTATGTCGTGCTGTTGCACCACTGTCCCAGGCTTAGGGGGAGGGGTTGAGCACTCATTATTTATGTGCCTGTCCCATGTCAGGAGCCTGTGGTTCACTTGTTGTCGTTGGTTTATATCTGTTATATTTGTTTTTCGTAAATTGTTTTGTTTTAAATCAGGCCGATAGTTTTCTCAATTGAATTGTTTCATATTTTTCAAGTTGGTTCCTTTTATAGTCGACTATACGGTATGGATTTTTTCTCATTGATGAAGGCCGTACGGTTGCCTATCATTGCTTACATCTACTTCATTTCTTATTGGCAATGATATCATATCTCCTTATATTATTTTTTTAATTTAACTAAATACGTTTAATATTCTCAGGTAATTTAACATATAAGAATCAGCTTTCAGTACCTGGGGGTACTTTAAGATCGGTACTCTGTGTCTTTCATCATAAAAATGTAATTATTTTGGGCTTAATTCAATATTGATTAGTTGAGCTATTTACAACTGAATTTTACCGGTTTTATTTCTTATATTGTGCGGTTACACCAGAGTGTTGAACGCTGGTAAACGCGTTTAATCAGGCCAAATTCTATATTGGCTTTCCCAAGTCAGGAGCTTTCAATTCAGTGGATGTCGAGAACTTATTTTACGCATGCATCTCTTTGCTACATAGTTCAAGTTTTATAAATGTCCAAGTTAAAAGCAATAGAGATCATAGAAGTATGTTTATCAAATGATCATGTCTACTCACAATTAAAACAGTAAGAAAGGGATTGACTCGTCAGACTAAAACGAAGCACAAAAACAGCAATTACTAGTATTACAAATAAACTCCATGTACCGATCTTAGAGTATTAAATCTTAAAAACAACTACAACTAATAAATACAGAATAATTATCCAGTCTAGAATATTAATCAATTATTTCGTACTGTTACACCTCTGTCCCAGGTAAGAGGGCCCGTTAACATGTTTAACCCCGCCACATTATGTATGTATGTGACTGTCTTAAGTTAGGAGCCTGTAATTCAATGGTTATCGTTTGTTGCTGTGCTTTCGTTCATTTTTTTTTTGTACATTAGTTAGGCCGTTAGTTTTATCGTTATAGATGTTTTACATTTGTCATTTGTGGCCTCTTATAGATGACTATTCGGTATGGGCTTTACTCATTGTTGAAGGTCGTACGGTGGCCTATAGTTGTTAATTGCTGTGTCATTTGGTTTCTTGTGAAGAGTTGTCTCATTGGCAATCATACTACATCTTTTTTGTACATATCACAAATTAAGTAAAAAAATACATAAACACTCTAGAAAAGCAAGACCTTGTGTCATGTCAAAAGCATAGAGTGTCGGTAGGACCATTAGTGTTCATAACTGTATAGCAGATTATATGTAGTTTCTATAAAATGTAATGATAATTCATCAGTAAAAGATACATGATTATTTGTTAGTGGATTTATATATAACTTAATAAATGAATATTTATATTAAAAGAAACATCAGAAACAAGAATATGTGTCCATTAGATTACACGCCAGTATCACATTTCCGTGTTAAATGAGCTCTAAATCCAGGAAAAATCCAATTCAGTATGTAGCCTTTAACGTTTAAATCCCGTGCGAGATGTCTAATATTCAAACATTGTTGTTTTTAAAACGTACTTATCAAAGTCAAACTACAATCATTTAATTTTTTTTTGTGCTATACAATTTGTGATTATGGCCGGATCCAATATATTTGAAAAAAGGGCGTAGTTCCCGATAATTGAATTTATACTGCCGAGCGGAGCAACGCGAAAAAAAAATTGGACGATTTTATACTAAACATTTGTATAGATAACGTGGAAAACGTGAGATTTTCAAAATTATTTGGCGATCGAAAGGGGGGAGTACGCCCTCTCCCCCTGTATCTGCGAATGCACGTTTAGGTATACATGGACAAAAACCTTGTCCCATGCATTATTATAGTTAAAGACTAAAAAGTACTATTTGATAAATGTATCAATGATATGAATTTCTGCTCACGTCAAATTATCTTGAATTAAATTATAGAAAAATAATTTTTAAAAAAAAGCTAGTCGCGTACACCTTTTACATTCGGGTGTGTTGGAATCTACTTTTTAAGCGTTAAAACTTATAAAAACAAAAAAAAAGATAAACTTCTCGCTTCGATTTTCATTATTTTAATCTTTTCATGCTAAATTTTTACTTGGTAGTTTTTAAAATTCATATTTTGAGAAGAACTGAAACATGGGTCAAGTGAAATGACAAAACACGATGGGTGTATTTGATTAGAAGTTGCTAGCTTGCTTAACCATTAAAATATTTTTGTCAATAAAATCATTCAAAATTTAATAACAAAATATTTAAAGATTAAAAAAGTATTTGGGGTTGGTTTTTACATTTAGTCTATATCAGCAAAAAATGCGTGTCGAAAGAGCAAAAAATGCATTTAGTGTATGCTCCCCTCCGTCTTGCTTCAATGCAATAGGACGAAATACGTTGAGTTAGGTCGGTTATGTCGAGTAAAGTGATTTTATTGAAAATCTCTATTGGGAGGCTGTGTCATTGACGTATTTCCCACATCTTGTTTTATTTTTACAAATCGACACAAAATTATGGCAATTTTATTTACTTATGCATACAAAATTCCAAGTTAACGTAAGTTTCATTATGGTAAACTATAACAAAAATAAACCTAAAAACTGCAGAATAAAGTTGAGATATGCCATATACAGATAACTTTATAGCTTAGTATTAGTGTTTTTGTTATACTTTGATAAATTAAAGATATCACCGTTATCCCTTTTAAGCTTAAAAGGGTCAATTGGTAAAAGCTTTAGAAACTGGACGTCTCAATAAACTTATGTTTTAAAAGTTCGAATGAATTCAAAAATCGCACTTTTTGACATTCTTTAGTTTTGCAAATTATTTCATTGGAATACATTGGATGAATAAATAAGCCCTGCAATTTTTTGTGGATACATTACTTCATGGGTGTATGTTCACCCATTGCAGAGTGTAATGGACTTCTTTGATTATCCTTCTTCAGGGAAAATTTCTTAACACATGATTGCCTTAACTGTTCCTTTGATGAGAGCTCTGCATATCGGACATCGTCTTAGCGCTGGAGCACAGGTTGCACACGCTGCCATGTGCCCACATGGCAAGAAAACGATCGACACAGGTTCATCAAGACATATTTGGATGTTTGTTGGTCTTTCAAGTTCCTATTTTCCTCTTCAAGACATTTTACTGATACTACAAAGAACAAAAAGAAACCATGGGATGCTCATTACATAAAGAATACCAAGTAAGTAGTGGTATCAATTTCACTTTGGTCTTGATTCTAAATTCTAAATTAAATTGTGGAATAATAGCAATCTATTTTATTGATATGTTTAGTATATTAATAAATGTTGAAACAAGATGTACCGATTTGAACTAGTGAAAATATGTAACTATAAGGTAATATATTTGCCTATGAGGTCACAGATATAAGGGGCAAAGGTAAAATTGACAAAACATTACGCATATAGAATAAAAATTGAGCATTATAACCCTGAAAAACATGAGAAAACGGGATGTAACATTAAGGTACTCTGTTAGATAAATATTACCTGGCTACTTTGATTTAACCAACTACTTGTTTATTGTTAATCAAATAGTAATAGCGATATATCATTTCTTCCAACTCAAATTTTTATTTCCATCATGACAGATCTACGAGTGACCTCAAAATTTCGTCGACTGACCGATTGAAGTTGGCATAACAATATTTTCTGTCAATTAAGATATGTAGTTTTATGATATTATGCTTATGCACTACGGGATATTTGGTATTTCAATCCGTGGAAGACAAACTTGAAATGGTCTTAAAAATTATTCTTCCAGAGTAAAATGTTGTACACTTACATCCAATGTCTGGATCAATATTTGCTTGTTCATCTTTAGGTGTATTCTGGGTGTGATTTTTGACTAAATGTGCTGATTGATGGCTGCTTTTAACAGAATGATTACAAGCCGATTGCTTTTGTTCTCTTTCTTCTTTTTCATTAATTGTTTCAAACAACAAACTAGCTGTTATATCTGAAAAAACACATTATAAAATATGTTTATACATATGCATGTGGGAAAATAACATTGCAATCTGATATATTCCAAATATTGCACAACTATTTGTTATTTCATTTAAATACGCTAAAAGGAACAAGTAAGATTGATCGTTGGAATTGATTTTTGACTACATATGTGAACTTTCTCTTTTTTTACTAAATCTTCCTCATAAAAATTGTAATTCCATCCATCTCGATTATCTAATCATTTACTACTGACATTACCTTGAATTCCAGCTGTTTGTAAGCTCGTATAAGCTGATTTGGCTACATCTGGTTCATATCCAAATTCTAAAATTGTTTGCACTGCTGGATTATTGGTGAAACCATTTAACCCTTTTGACTGGATCTTTTCTTCCGATTGTGAGCTCTGTAATACCAAGTTATAATATAGATTGTTTCCTTCATTATTGATTTATTTATTTTAAGATTATTGTAATCATTACTGTATTTAGAATTATAATACATTATAAAACATTTAATCCAGGATAAAAGTATTATGCTAAAATAGCAACCTGTACTTCAAACGATGTTATAAATATGATTTCGTGTGTCTTTTTAAAAGTATAGATTTGTCAATTATTCACGAAGTTAAAAAGTCAGACAATTTAATTTCGAAAAATGTAAAACTATTTGTTCTTATAGACTGTAAGCCTTACAGTACTTACATTTGAAATATGTTCAGGGTCCTTTCCATGCTGCACATCTTCAATGAACTTTTCTCCCATACACTGTTTTACAAATTGGCATTTCGGATACCACCGCGCATGCTCTGTCCATGGCAAATCCCCAACTTCCCATCTTCGCAGACCACCCCCACAAAAGAAACATCTGCAGTGATCTTCTATACCTAGTTGTGAAAATTTTGCAATTTGAAATGTAAAACTTATTCTGTTAATAATCATGGTCTTACCATTTTATGCTTTTAGGACCTGATCTCTCATACAAACATTAATGGTACCAATTTTACTACACCGATTGCGCATTTCACCAATCAATGTCTTTTTAGTGGTGTTCGAATGGACCAAACGTAGGGCCAAACCCGGAAAATGAATCAAAGATTTACATTAGGGAGATACATTTCTTAATTTACAATGATTTCAAAAATACTAGGGGGTGTTTAACGACCTTATATTTAAAAAGTGTTTAACAGCAAATGCCAATTAAACAAAATCCGTATTTACTTGTCAATACCGAAGTACAAAATATATATAGTAGAACGTATTGTTGGCATCAACGGGTTCACGAGTGTGGTCGGTTGCTTGAGAACTATCGCTCTCGTATAGTATGTATTTGCGATAAAATGTCTCTATCATTCTCTTGAAACGGTATTATCAGGTCCGTTGATTTCTGGTTTGCATTGTTTAAATTCTTTTTTTTTTTATTTCGAGGCACTCTATAGCTGACTATACGGTATGGGATGTGCTCATTGCTGTAGGCCTTACGGTGTCCTATATTTGTTTACATCCAAGTCATTTGGACTGTGGTGGAGAGTTATATCATTGGCAAACTTACCACATTTCTTGTTTTATATTAAACATAGAAACAATACGAGAAGTATCATATTAGACCTTTTCTTTTTAATGACAAAATGATTGAAGCAAGAAACATCAAATTTATTAACTAATTACATGCAGTTGTGACATTTACTGTTATAATCACTATCAAGGTCTAATGTTTAATTTGGATACTAGTATATGATAATTAGCAGTACACATTGATTAATCTCGTGTATTTTTATCCAATGTCATATCATCATATTCTCAGATATATATGCAAAATATGCTCTGGATAAGTATAACTCTACTTTATTTAAAAACAGATAATACTAATATGAATAAAAACAAAAAAAATCAGATATGTTGACTTTATTACAAAACTATATTTACCGGTATAAAAGAAACCTGCAGTCACCAATTCATCTGGTGTTTGAGAAAGGTAAAAAGGCCAATTTGTAAATGATGACAATCGAGTTGTCCTTATAGCATATTTAGGATATTTAGGCTTTTCTAGACAAACGCCCATGCTCACTGCCTCCAAATTTGAGGTAAGTGAATTGACAGGGTCGGGTGTGTGCGGTGATTGAAGTGATGACTGAAGGGCTCTGTTGTTTTCTGGAATGCTAATGAGACCAGTTATGTTGTTCCGGGAAAAAGCTGGGAACTCCCAGTTTGTTCTCCTGGGAAATGAAATGTTTTCTAGGTTTTCCGTTTCCAACCTGCAGTCGTCGCCGGCTAAAACCTTATTTTCTATTGTAAATCTATTTTGGTCCTTGGCGACATTGTTTTCTGAATATGTTTCGTTTGTTTTCTTTTCACTTGCTGAAGATGTTTCAGCTTTATTTTCCATCTCCCTTATCACTGATAAGTTTGATGCTTCTGAGGAGTTTCCACATGCACCAACAGAAATGTCTGCTATCTGTATGTCATTGTTTCTTGGTATCGTGTTTAAGTTTATCACAACAAAAGAACACTGAGGTGCGTTGTCTTTATGTATTTGTACTGGGCTATCGTTTGACTTCCAGTTTTTATATTTTAATCCACAAGAATTACAGACGGCCTCATTTGCGTTTCCCTCATAGTGAAATCCAGCTTCTGCAAGTCGTATCACTGAAATGCTAGTATATGGATAATTAGCAAAACTTGCTAATCTGCACCATTCAAACTGCATCGATTCCTTTAAAGATGATGTCAATCCAGTTTTCTGTTCCTTAATAAAATTGCAATAGTCCTGTGGGTTTAACACATACGTTTGCACAATAGTCCTTGGAATGTGATTGAGGCTTTTGACAAACTTGCTAATCCATGAACGTGTCTTCGGATGTTCTATCAATCCTTTCATTTTTGCTTTATGTTTAGAAAAGTTATATTCAATGTCAATTTTGGACTTCCCTATTCGCTTGTATTTTTCTTGCCAATTGATTCGTTTAAAAACCATCATTATGCAACCAAGAATACAGAAAAGAACTGCGAGGTTTGTCTTTCTTCTTATTGGTTTTGCAGGGAATGGTATAGAATTATCATGCTTTAGATTTTGAACAGATAATTCGTTTCCTTCACAAGTACTGCGCTCAATTTCCGTTTCAACAACACTCTCTTCAACAACTTTAAATTCATCCTTCACAAGTTGATTCATATAAATGTCCACATCATTACTGTCTTCGTCACTATATTCTGGTACTGCCATTGTAAGCTAATGTATACAAAATCACAAGGGTTTTGATCTGTAAATCAATTTCGTAAAACTTATGAGTAGAACCTAGGATTTTGTAGGTTTGTCCATGCATACGTGTACGTCTCCGGCGTAAAACGTATTGTCATTTCTCACGTATCTTATAAGAAGATTTGCTTATTGCAATTAAAACTAAAGATTTGTTTCTTTATCTGAAGGTTGTGCAATATCTTTGTACATGTATATTCAAAGGAAACAAACATTTAATTTGTTTTGTAAAGGAGGAATGTTGAAACGAATATATTGCCCTTGTTAAAACTGAAAATAACATACGACAGGATGAAAATTACGAATATTATATCCTTAAAAATTAACGAGTTGCGCGAAATAAATGAGCCAACATAAGAGCCGGTGAAATGAATATTTTAATATTCAGTCCGCGAAAAATAGTCCTTCCGCCCTCTACCAGACAATCAAAAGGTTGTTCCATAACCAAACCTTCTCGTGTTTTTATTTGGTGGTTGTACATCACAAAAAGTAACCTAAGCTCTAATTTATAGAGAAGCTTTTAAAACCAAATAGAATTTGTAAAGTGTGTCTTGCCTGCGATGACTGCTGTCAGTGAAAATTGTTAATGCGATCGCCAAAAAGTATTTTTATCAGTAAAATACGAAAAACAAAAAAAAAATGATTGATTTTTATACTGTATGTTGATCACAATAAAGCTTCTGTCGAAGTTTCATAAATGAACAAATATATATGAAGGTTTGACAAAGTTATTGAAAAAAACGTTAACCACAGACTGATTAACCTAAATGTTGAAGACACCGACGGCGGAATGTATCATCGCTATGTCTCGCTTCCGCGAAAAAATATCACAAGCTCGACAATAAAAAAAAATTGACATAAAAACTATAGACACAAAAACACAAAAGTATGCAGCACAAAAAATCACAGACTTAAATTTAGTAGCACAAATAAAATTTATTTCTGTAGCTTGATTATTTTATTTTTATTAACAAACGCTCGACATTGGTACTCCGATTAGTCGAAGAACATATATTTCCTTACCAAGACTTATACATAATTTTTTTGTATACGTGTAGATAACATGTATAAGCAACATGGTTAGGTTAGTAGAATACTTAATTTAGTTTTACTTATGATATTTATAACAATCAACAAAATAGAAATTTGTTTTATATATTTGCTTATTCAATATAAATTTTATTTGTCGACACTAGCAGTACTTACAACAAGTCTTCTTCCTTTTATAAATATGATTTGCTCTATGTTTACCTCTTATTTATATGATTGAATCTAAATATAGCATACCATGCGAGACTCTTCTAGAATGTTCGGTTATTGATGGAAAAAAACAAATCATGGCTGTTCGTTTAAATCTGTTATCTTAAGGGTTCCGCGGAACCCTCTGTGTCTTGCCTGCGATGATTGCTATCAGTGAAAAATGTTAATGCTGATCACCAAAAAATAAGTCTTTTTATCAGTAAAATACGAAAAATAAAAAATAATTTGATTTTAATGCTGTCTTTAGGTCACAGGTTTCATAAAATTTTTGAAGGTTTGACAAAGTCATTAAAAAAACTTTAACCATGATTAACTACAGATTGATTAACCTAAATGTTGGGAGACACCGACGACGGAATGTATGATCGTTAAGCTACAAAAATATAGTAGCACAAACAAAATTTATTTTTGTAGCTTAATTATTTTTTCTTAATTTACAAACATTCGACTTTGGTACTCAGATTAATCGAAAAACACGTATTTGCTTTCCACAACTTCTACATGATAACTATGAAAATAAAAAGATAGATCTTTGTTATATATATATATATATATATATATATATTTCTTTATTCAATTTAAATTTATTTTGCCGACGCTATCAATACTTACAACAAGTCTTCTTCCGTTTTTAAATATGATTTGCTCCATGTTTACCTCTTATTTAAATATGATTGAATCTAAATATAACATACCATGCGATACTCTTCTCGAATGTTCAGTGCGTGATGGAAAAAAACAAACAATAGCCGTTCGTGTTAATCTATATATAATTTTTTATATAATTTATTTTTGTTCATATGACTCATATTTAAAAAATGCAAATGTGTTTATTGATTACACAAAATTTAAAAACATTGCAGCGTTGTCTAAACATGAACTTAATATATACTCGGCAAATGGATGTTGATGCGCTAATTAAAATCAGTTGAAAACAATATATTTAGGAAGTAGTTTGAGAAGAATGTATATATATATATCTACAATAATAAATTATGTTGGCCTGTTTCATTGATTGTAATATTGAAGTATCTCTGAGCTACTTGTACCAATCCCCCTTTTGAAACTCTTTATTTCACGTATTAGAGTTGTTACCATAAAGTATTCATAAATCGATTCTTTATTATGTCTATCAAATTTTCTCTGCGTTTGCATTAACACAAAATAGTCACGGGGAAAATTGATGTGGAAACAGAAATTTCCCTTAATCATGATTGAAAAAAAGATATCTGCTAATTTACTGAATCTGGTTAAAAACTAAGATTTGCCTGTATAGACGTTATAAATAGGAGCAAATTGTTGATGATCGCGATGACAGAGAATTGAAAACCTGGATGTTTGGGAATAATTTCGGTTTGGTGATAACGACCATTTCAAAACCTTCATTATGTTTATCAGAATAATAATTCTAAACATGTCGCTGCGTTGAAGACCCGTTGGTGGCCTTCGGCTGTTGTCTGCTCTTTGGTCGGGTTGTTGTCTCTTTGACATATTCCCCATTTCCATTCTCAATTTTATGTTAAAGATGTTAAAACCCACGAAACATACTACATGGATGGAGTTGTTTTGATGTAATTGTGCTTCCACCAGTAAATACTTTCAATTGTAGTAAAACGCTTGTTCTCAAGAATAAATTTAATTCTACATTTGCTATACGATGGCTTTTTAATATTTAAAACTTTATCACCTGCTGTACAAAACAAAATATAAGCAAAAGGAAGCTCGAACATCGAAAATAACAATCACCTCAAATCTAACAGACCAGCGACAACACCCACACTGTTACCATAGTTTAGCATTATCAAGGAGCATTATCGACTGCGTTGAAAAAAATATATTTCATATAGAGCCAGTTTTTTTGTTTAAGAACTTTAGAACATTGATCAAGAACTTTGAGCAAAGGAGCAGTTTAAGAAGGTTGCATACAGAATTTTTCTTTAGGTAGATAACCATATCTAACAAAACGAGATAGATGGTTGCTATAGGGTATTCTCCGATACAGCAGAATATTAACTACATTTTCGTCAATTACTGATGATGAAGACCATGTTGTTTTTGACTGCAAGAGATTTAGGATAACAGAAATTTAATACTATCGAGAATTTTTAAAGTTAATTTAAACTTCGGGAATTTGACGGTAAAATGAATTATTTTGCTATTTATTGTAAAACAATGTCGATTTACTCAAAGCAATAGTAGGCTTACTTTGAAAGGTAAACGACGCACAACTGCTCAATAGTCAAGTAGAAACAGAATTAGAATTTTCTTTTTAAATCAAATGTTTGAATATGCAATTATTTCAATTGAACTCAAGTAAGCTGTACTACTACTTTTGCCACTGGTTTATTGTAACATTGACACTTTAATTCAATCATGTAGGTTTGTAGGTCATTTCCTGGTGTCTTATCTGACACCACTTTCGAGAATCTGTGCTCTTCAAATTCGTGCATGATTTGGCTTTTCAACTTTTTATTTGAGTGCCACCTACACGAGTCTTACGTAGACGAAAAACACATCTAACGTTGCAAATTTTAAGCCTGGTATATCTATGATATGGTTTCATACATCTAACATCTTATAATTACTTTCAGATATAAAGAGTTCTTGATACGTTTTGTTGTACAGCTTATTATAATTATTGAAACTATTAACACCAACACTTACCTTATATGTATTTTTGTATTATGAGCTCTTTTTATTTTCATTTTACTTATAATGTGAATCTTTTTTACATATTTTTAGATAAAAAAAAGAGGCAAAATATACCAAATGGATAATTAAAAATAATGAGTTGAAACTGAATCTGACAATATCATGAAAAAAATAACTCAAATACAAAAGTAACGAAAAGACAAACAACTGTCTACAAAACCCTAACCAGAAAACTTAAGACTGAACAACTCGAACCCGACCACAAACTACGGAGATATCAAGTGTTGAAAATGTGAAAGCCGATAAAACATGTTTCATGTTTGAAAAAGGTTTATTTTTCCCATCATAGTAGCTATTTATGTAGGCACATGATTTTAGCTTTAGAATTTGTTTTCATTTTAAGACGGTTACATCTAATTGTATTCGCGAGGAAAATGTTTCATATATATATAAGTAGTTTGTAACCCTGATTTGTTTTCTCACTATCGATTTATGACTTTTGAACACCGGTATACTACCTTTATTTATAACGTTAAGTCTACAAATGTTAGAGAGCCATTTAAAGACATTCTTTAACTTAGTACCCTTACTTTCAATTGATCGCCGATGTCCATTATTCACCATTACGTTGTCGAAATGGACAATGATGAGAAGTACAGTATAACGCATGGAATGAAAACTAAAAAATGCAATTATTTTATTATTATTATCCTCATTTTTATTAACACTTGCGTTTGCACTTAAAAATGATACAAGACTTCTACATTGTGTTCAAAATAAACCTTTGCTTACAATAAGTCAAATGAAACTATAGAAATGAAAAAGATATACTTAGAGTTTTTAAGTTTCAAAAATACCATAAGTTATCTCCAAATGTCTGTGTCGCGTAGTAAATTTAAAAACTAAAGACATGTATGCATCGATTTTTCCGTTTTAAATTCATGCCAATGAATGTATCTCACCGTCAAAGCAATTTCGGAATTCCTATCTTCATGATTATCAAAAACATTTCGCATAGAGTATTATGGAAAACTTCTGATGTAGTTTTGCAAGAGATGATC